CTTCGGCTTGCGAGCTCGTCTATGTTGTTTTTTCTCAGCGGAGGTGTTAGCAACTGCTGCCTCCCTGAGGTGATGCAGAGTGTAGAAGAGGTACTCTTTGCACCTTTGGCCTTGAGTTGTTTGACTCCCTGAGCTTACACTGTAAGGCTACTCACCTCCAGCAACTGGCTCAGTTGCAAGTTGTTTTTCTCGGGTTTGTTGTGAAGATATCTTGTTTGGCAACTTCGAGCAAAATCGGATTCCCTTCGGGGATCATCCGATAAGATCAGAGCGATACGCAGAATATTAGCGTGGCCCCTGCGCAAGGATGGCACGCACAAATCGAGAAGTGTACCAAGTTATGTTTAGATTTCTTGATTAGATTCTTGAACTCTTGAACGGGAACCTACTATCAGTCGAAGGCCCAGCTAGCTTGCTGTACCCCATGCTCAACAAATGTTCATTGGCAAGTAAGTGACTAGTAGCTCCTGTGTAAACTTACCTGGCTAGTGTTGGGCGGAGATCCAGCAGCTCGCTTTCATAGCATTTAAGGAACTTACTGAACTTAACAAAGTAATTCCCCGAAAGGTTTTTACAGAATTTTCACTCAAAAAATTCCAGGTTCGTTGTCATTCGTTGTACACGCACGAGTGCCTTGAACCTCATGGCGCCCTTTTCAAGTAATGAACTAACCTGGTGATTCAATGGTCGCTCTTGGATGATTCTTTCATTGGCAGTCAAAAATGGTAAATTCGTGAGCAAAGCGTGCATACACTTGCCTTTGTTCACGCTAACCCTATTATGAAAGGCGCGCTTGAACTTGCCCCTTCAATGCTATGGATACGCCGCGTTATTTAGCAGCAATAAATTTGAGTCATACAGGACATTTTGTCCAAGTGGTTAAGGAGATGGGCTAGAAATCCATTGGGCTGTGCCCGCAGGGGTTCGAATCCCCTCGGTGTGTCATATTGGCACAAGAAGGGAATATCGAATTCATGGGAATCAGGGTTGGGGTGGATATGAACCATTTGGCAAGGAGCATTGGTGAGGTTGGAGCGCCACGGGGCCACGTCCGGCTTGATTGCACCAAAATTGGGACATCCGCAAGAACGTTTCCTTGGCGTTGGCCCGTTTACTGCAGATTCGCGCCTGAGAAAGGTTGCGTATGCGCTGGTTGCCTGCGTGCCCACGCCAAGGGACCGACACTCAGATCGTTGGGACCATCGTAGTGACTGCGATAGGGGTGCAAACGGTTTTCAGAGAGGAGAAGTTTGCAGTGGCGCAGCTGGCTGAATGCCACACCGGCGCAGCCGATGTCACAATGGATTGCGCAGGGTGCGCAGCAGAATGAAGGCCTTTGACATGTGGTGGAAAACAAAGCCTCACGATCCGGAGAGGCTCCAGTCAAAGTGGGTCCCTTCCTACGTCTCGGATGCACCCTTGCTTAGAAGGTCAGAGTCGGAGGTGACCACCTCTTGAAGGACAAGCAAACGAGGCAGCAGACGAGCTCTGCGGGGAACCGGCAACAAGCTCATGAGTTCCTTGCTAGGAGGGCTGAGAAGATCCTTACCTGCAGTGGAAACCACCAGCACCCCGTGTACCAAGCTTTCCATGGAAACCCATGTTCTCAAACAGCATGGAGGTAGACAGCTGTGGGTTTGTGAGGGTTGGTGGGGTCAGCTGTCATTAAAGCAAAAACTCCGAGTTTTTTCCTAGTGAGAGTGGAAGAGGATATTCTCCTTCAAGCATTCCTTGCTGAAGCGGTAAACAGCACTGTGGTGCTCTCCCATTCCCTATCGGATTACGAAGTTAATGGGCTTTTTCATTCCTACTGGACTAGAGGCATGCTCCTTTTCTCCAGGACGATTGACTGGAGCTGCGTTTGACAGTTGCCTTTGGTAAAGGAACATTCTTCATGTCTTGAGAAACAGGGAAGGAGCTCCTTCATTTAATGCCAAGAAGTAGAGGAGCTCATTCTTATTGCAAGGCAGGGGAATGCCGCTGTTTTTCTTGAGAGGGAAGAAGACTTTTCTCATTTCCTCTTCACAGAAGAAGCATTTCCGTCCTTTGAAAGGTAAGGAACTCTCTTCATGTACTTTAGGAGCCCGAGTACTCACATAAGCGGATATAGGCTAGGGGCTTTTTATTCCTTCAAAAAAAGGCAAAGAAGTAATGCATGCTTGGGCTTCTTATGAAAAGAACAAAAAGGTGTCTTCTTTCGTATTGAGGGCTTGTCATGCTGATTTCCTATTGGGAAAAAGATCAGAGATTTGTTCCCCATGGCTTTTGTAAACAGCTAGCAGAACTCTTCATGTCTTGAGGAACGACAAACGAGCTCTTTCATTTGACGCCGAGAGGTAGAGGCAATCTATTCAAACTAACGGGAGACCAGGTAAGAAGTAGAGACTAGGCAAACGAAATCCAAAGTCCAAAATCCGAGATCCGAAAAAAGTTGCATTTGATGTAACCTCTACCTGTATTCTTGTAGCCACCTCTCCATTCTCGCTTGTTGACTTTATGTATCTTTCTCTCGGCCTCTCTAGCTCTCTCCTTCCTTCCGTTTCCCTCTTCGTTCACCTCTTTTCTTCATTATCCCTTTTCTCGTGCCCATGCCGTGGCCCTTTCCTCCTCTTTTGCTTCTGACATTCTGCAATCGAAGAAGGGCAAGATTCAGACAGGAGACTGAAGGGCATCCTTCTCATTCCACATCTCTTCACATGTCGCTGTTGTTTTTTCCTGTTTGTTCTTTTTCTAAACGAATGGAGAGGGTTCTCGTCACACCTTTCTTTCCCTTTTGGGGAGGCTCAGGGAGGGTTCTCGGTCTTTCTGCGTCGGCAAGGGCTTGGCGTAGGACCATGTCCGTATAACGAACAGGACTCATCGTTTGGATATATAGGAGCCTTTTTCTTTCGTTAAATCAGAAAAGATGAGGGTGAAAGGAAAAAGAGAAGTAATGGAAAGAAAAAGAAATCACCGCACCCAAAGAAAGTGAGAGAGCGAGAGACAGAAGCAAACAGAAGAAGACAGCAATCCCAGTAGTCCTGGAGAAGAGGAAAAGAGAGACAGTGAAAGAGCGACAGATAGATAAACAGAGTGAAGGAAACAGAAGCAGTGAAGAAGAGGAAGGAGGAAGGAGGAAGCTGTGGGGGAAAGAGGACCTTTTGGACAAAACAAGGGGAACGAAAAGAGCAAAAAGGAAAAAACAATAGAAAGGGCAAGGCCCTCTTTGTTGTCCACGCCTCGTGGCCTCCTCCAATCGGCTGTGCCAAGCCCATGGCCCACGACACACGCGGCCGTGGTGTGGAACAATGGGGATTATATTTACGTGCCTAGGACGCAGCGACGAGCAAAAAAGTGCCAGGGCAATCTTCTACACATTCTTCGCCGTTGCAGACCATGTGTCAGATCTGCGTGTGTACTGGGACCTGCTGATTGAGGCATCTGCAATGTTGCGGCGATTGCTGATCTGCTTGCGAGGAGCATTCATAGTTGTTTTTAATGTTTTCAAGCTTCAAAAGACTCTTGTTCATTCCCAGGTTTTGTTCGGGGGGGCATTGCGAACATGTAGAAAAGCTCGCATTGGAAGCTGTTTTTCGAGTGGGATGGGCGCCGCAAATTTCATTGCAACCCGGTGGCTTCATGAATCACATCCCGGAGTGCCCAACCCCCCGTTTCTCATGATGCGCATGCCCAACAACAACGAACAAACCAATGTTGCAATTTTAGCGAACGGGCAATGTTGGTTGCGGCAACCAATAACAAGTGCAAGCACAACAATGCACACATGGCAGATGATCCGTGAGCTGCCGTGGCAGTGCGAATTTTCGCCAGTGCGGGTTCAAGCGGCTAGTTTGTCAGCTTGTCATTGTTTGTGGCAGCAACATTGAACATGCGGCGCAACAACATATCTTCCTGCAGGTGTCGGTGTTGTTCGGCTTCGTGGCGTTGATACGAAGTGTTTTGAGCTCATGTGTCGAATGGCCTGCATTCAACTTTCACTGCGATGTTGTACAATGTTGTTGGCTGAGGCTTCTGCCGTCTGGTCGGTTTTGCTATTTATCGCACTCCTGGTGTGGGCTTGTCAGTCGCTTACGCTCGGCCAGTTCGATGTTGATCTAGCAACCATATGTAATGATTCTGGAACCAAGGCTTTGATGTAGCTCGTGCTTGTCACCAGCAAGTGGCGGCATTGTGGGCGAGGTGTGTTGGTATCTCAGCGAACATTCGTACACACCACGTTTGCGGTTATGCGTACACACCACGTTTGCGGTTATGCGGTGCATGCTCATCCGCTTTAACTACTTTACGACATATCATGGGTGTACCCATGCACAGCAGTTCAGGGTCAGGGTGAGCAGGAATGTAGGGTTAGATTGAAGACTCACAAATGGAATCAGGATTGGGGTTGATAGGGTTTCAGCTTTCATCGGTCGTGGGGTGTAGCTTTCAGGTTGAAAGGTGTCAAGATTGGGCAATCTAGGACTTCGAGGGCTCAGGGGTCGAAAGTTAGAAATGAAGAAGGGCATTATATGTTATAAGATTATAAGGTCGCGGCTTTCGGCGCGAAGGTGAACATGTGAAGGTGAGTGGGGTTGGGGCGGGAGGGGCTTTATCTAGCCACGGCGGGGTTGAAGCAAGTTGAAGCCCAAGAGTGCATGTGCGCATTTCGTTTGTAGGAGGAACATGGTTTGATTGAGACATAGCTCGGCCAACTGAGGTCTTACCGGTGCGTGTGGCTGCTTTTGCCGAACAGTTTGGTGGCAAAGGTTCGCACCCAAGCTGTGGTCAGCTGCCTAGTTTCATTCAGAAAGAACAGGTTCCACCATCGTTTGGGGTCCGATGAAACGTTGGACGCTGGAAAGCAACGGCGTCTGCAGTGCCAGAACCTTGTTCGTGCATGTTTCGGTACTGTTGCGTGTTACATGTGCGCCAGTAAAGTTGCCATGAGCTGCTTGCCAAGGTGCTAAACTCGGACTTCTCTGATGCTGAAGCTGTTCGACGTTTCGATGCAGTGAGACGGCATGTGCGGTTCCTAGTCCAGTGCCAGCATTCGTCTCCATTCCGTCCTATTCCGGGTCCAGGTGCAGTGTGTTTTTGCAGCCAAAGCTCACTTATGGGGCCGGAGCCTAATGGTATCTCATGGTCGCCCAGTTGGCATCGCCAGTTGAATTTTGGCAGTTCTGGCAGATTTGCAAGGTAACGATTGGTCGCAAGCTTGCGGTGCAGAGTCGGAGGAGGCGATTCTTGCAGTGAATGTGGCACTCTGCCTGCCGCGGCTGCTGCGTTTCTGCTTGATGGTGAAGCAAGGTGCTGCTTTGGATGGCTTTGTTTTTGAGGTACGTGGTGCATGCTACTGTAGTGATCTTGGCAGTTTTGCGCTCACCGTGCGGCGAGTTTTGATGGGCATCAGCGCGGGTGATCCTTCTGGTACAGACTGCTTCAATGCGGGAATTGATCGCCGTGGCTGGTACTTTCAGTTTGCCCGAGAACCATTCTTTGTCACAACATTTGCGCCGTGCTATGGCAGTTCGCATCCGCGGTACCAATACAACCAGCACAGTGAGTCGTGCTTCATTCTCTTGCAGCCAGAAGAGTCTTTTCTCCGGCATGATCTTCCTCCAGACAAGCCACGAAGTGCAACCAACTGGGAACAGCCTGTGGATGTGCGTGACCGCATTAGGGCCAATTTTCGGCGCCATGGACGTGAGTACCGGATTCCTGAGACGACTTCATACCCGCCTGCAGACTTCATTGTCGCACCCATGGATGCGCTTCATGACTCTCCCGTGCAGTTCTGGGAGAGAATAAGAGCCGTCGTTTTATTGCAGCAGCATCGAGCGTGGTAGGCCAAGACCCCGGAGTCTGCTGGAACCTCTGCTGCGCAAACCTCTGTTCCTTTTTTTACTGACTTGCTTCAGGTGAGCATCTAGGATCTAAGTTGAGATGCTTCAGACGCACCCCTGGGCCAACAAGCCACCTCATTTCGTAGCCGTGCATGCATGATGGTGAACATACATATGTTCATACACATCATATCTATATATCATATCATAACATATATATATATATATATACGTACACATGCCTCTATACATATACACCTCTTGCTACTAAGTGCACGTTCAACTGAGCAAGCAACTTTGCGGGGCATGCCGTCACAGCAACGTCAATGGGAAGTTGGGGCCTCTATCATGAGAGCCCTTTAGGGCGCCTGAGTGACAGCCCGTGCTACCATAGCTTGAGGCGCGATAAACACCTTGGCCTTTCCGGCGCCGCATTTGGGCAAAGCATTTTACCAGGCCATGGCCCGCCTTCGACGTCTTGTGACAAGCACTGTCTAGTGACATTTAGAGTGACATTCGACTTGCCACGAGCCGGGCAGGATGAGCTCCTGCGAAGGCTATGACATGCTATGACTAGATGGTGAGTGCAGATCTTCCATGGTCTTACAGAGTCTTACACACATTCTCAGTCAGTGTTGCTGCCTCTTGCTTTCATTTGCTTTCATCTGCCTTCAGGCCCGATTTAGTGTTTCTGAAAACGGACGAGGATGAGTCCATCCCAGCTTGTCACGTCAGGGCACAGCGCCCTGCCCTGAGGTCAATTGTGTCAGCTTAGCCGGGACAGGATGCATTTTTCCTTCGCCTCTGCAACCAACAAGGAAGCAGTTTCGGGTTTCTGTCCACGCCTCCGGCGACGATACTGTATAGCCACGGAAATGCCGAGGCCACGCTTGGCTATATCCTGGCCTCTAAGCTGCTTTGCAACCAGTGTTGGCGCAAGCATCAGGACATTGGCCTACACCTCGACTACATTGATGCATTGGCAGAATACACGGGTGCAGTTCTCGGCAATCTCTCATCGCTCCGTGGTGTTTTTTGTTCAAGCTTCCCAAGCTGCTGAGGTGCAGATGTGTTCAGCTACGAATACGTTGGCTACTCACTTTCCCGGCTTGCCGGCCAGACCCCATCTGAGGCTGAACTCTTGAAGTATCGTTTTGTGTTTTGTGTTCTACTAGACATCTGTCACTTGCATGCAGGCCGGATGCATACGAAGCATCGATGCAGCAGCGGGCTTATTCTTAAAGATACACTGTCCAAGCGTAGCAGTTTGAGAACTGTGAACATCGTTTCCTTGTGTCTTAGGTTCATGTAGAAGGAATGCAGCATTGCTTTAAGCATGAAGGCGTGGCGGTACCTCGTAGATGAGCAGAAGATTCATCCGAGACGGATTGTTTCAGACTCGGCTTCGCAGAGCACATGGCTAGCCCGCTCAGTGAACGGGTGAACGGGCGAAAGTGACCCCCATCTTCGAGCGGGTCAGTGCAACGAATTCGTTCAAATTCATCCAGTCTTGTTCAGGAATCAGGGTTGAGGAAGTTTAGGGTTTTTGGCTTGTGTTCGAAGTGTGCTGTCCTTGATGCCCTCAACAAGTCCTCATGTCCCATGTTGTCCCATCAATATCAGCATGCTTTGCAAGATCTTTCTGGGCGCTTTGATGCTGACTTCCTGCTCAGTCGGAAGCATTTCTCATTGCTTGCGAAATACGATTTTGGCAACACAGCACCAGAATTGGGTGAAGCATCACATGATTGCCAGCAATATGACTGGGCAGAATCATTCTGGTACGTCCTGTGGAAGCTTTTGCTGAAACTCATTGTGCTGGATCGATGGAAGCTAGGTATTTGGTTTCACGCCATTTTTGATTGACCTTCGTGCTGTGCCCGGCGTGCCTTGAGGTGATCTTTGGCCGGTCGATTGGTGCGCCCAGCTCGCTGTGTCGGCGAGATGATTGTACCCCCTGCTTTGCTAGAATTGCTGTTGCCAGGTTCCGGCCCGAGCGTAGACTTGGCCTCCAGAAGCCAAGTGCAGGAGTCCAGAAGAAGCTCAACTTTGCTAAGCTTCTTCTGACAGTGACCACTTCGCAGGACACAGAGTTCTCACCCTTGGACGCAGCAGGGGTGATCCTTCAATCTCCGCTGGAGAGCCTGGACCTTGCACCGCATCCGTTTTACCTCCTGTCAAGTTTTCTGTGATCAACACACATCATCTCGACGTGAATGCGGCTTCGGCGTGAGGCGGTGCCTGTGTCGCCAGCAGCTTAGGATGGAAATGTGTCCCATGGGTGAACCACTGTGGACAGCTCTCCTTCGCCGTTTGAAAGTGCAAATTTGCATCTCAGTCAGGTGTTGGGCGGCACTGCTGCTACTCTGGGCCTCAGTCTTACTGGAAGCACGTTGAGGTGGGCTGCGCAGGCAAACGCTTCATCGAGGCTACTATTTGGACATCTTCCGAAATTATGAGAAGATCGGGAACATCAAAGCTCCGGCAGGGAGGGGGAGGAAGTGTTCACCAGGGTATACCAGGTTTTACAGCTGGTAGGAGACAGCCACAGGTTGACGAACGAAACCTGGTGAGGTCGCCATCATGCATGGGACTGATGATGAAGTGGTTCCCTTCTCCAACGGCCAGGCTGGACCCGCGCCTGAAACAAAAGCCCGTAGCAAACAACCAAGAGAGTTCCGCGTTTCCATCTTCAACATGCTTGAGCTCGACCGTTGCACGAGACACGGGCTTGCAGAACTCGGTGAACTGTGTCATCGCCCCCCGCAGATATCGGTGCAGTCATGGCCGGCCCAGTTGCCTCGGATGTGGAGCTCCTGCTGGAGGAGGAGGATCGCCCTGCACGCAGCCCATTCACCTTCCCGCGTCGTGCGGCCTTGGCTCTGGGCTGCGTTGGTTTGGTCACCGTGGGCATCCTGGCACGTGGTGGCGCCCGCGGATTGCGCAGCAAGTCGGGTGCATTCGTCATGCTGGAAGCCAACACCGACGATTGCTATGAGGCTTCCACTTACTACAGCAGTCCCACGAGGATGGCTGGAAGTGAGAGGACCGTCGAGCTGAGTGTGGAAGCTTGCCAACAGCGCTGCTTTGCTGTTTCTGGTTGTGCACACTTCACCTACTGGCCGGATGGAGGCTGCCTGTTGACGGATGGCTCATCAGTTGCCTCGCCTGCCCCTGCGAAGTATTCAGAGACAGTGGCCGGACCGCCGTACTGTGGTGAGAAGCCGGATATCGTGGACACCGTTACCTCCGGAGTTCAGGGGGCCGCGGACACCATCAGCTCTGGAGTTCAGGGGGCTGTGGACACAGTTTCCTCTGGTGTTCAGGGGGCTGTGGACACAGTTTCCTCCGGAGTTCAGGGGGCTGTGGACACAGTTTCCTCCGGAGTTCAGGACACCGTCGACAATGTGGCGGCCGGAATCCAGGACGCTGCCGAGAAGGCCAGCATTGAGGTGCCGACTGTGCTGCCCCTGGCAGTCCCTGGAATCAATGGCACGATGTGCGCCAAGTACCCTGCCTGTGTTGCTGCTGGCATCGAGGAGGGCAACTGTTGCCCAAATGACGATCATGTGGCGCTTGGCTGCTGCATGGGCTTTGCACCTGTCATTGCAGCGCCCAAGATTGCTCCAGGGTCAGAGTGCACCTCCTTCCCTTCATGCGTCGTGCTGAACATCACCGGCGCCTGCTGCCCGACTCCTGATGGCACACGCCTGGGCTGCTGCGACTCCATCTAGGACCGAGGATGAGCTGACAGTCTCCGTGCAAATTTGATGCATTAGGTTTATGTTGAAAGCGGGCTGCAATGACAGCCACACAGATTCGAAGCATTTAGCTGTCCTGCAGGCAGAAATAGTCCTGAGGAGTCGTAGATGCCAAAAGAGTATGCTCAATCCAAAGGAAAACTCCGTCGGAAGTCTGCACCAGATGTGTTGCCTTGCTCTGAAAGTTGCATGCAGCTGGTGATTCTTGCTGCCCGCAATGTCAAAGGACGGATACGGAGCAGCCTTCCTGTCGCCCACTGAAAATAGTCTCGGTGCAGTCATGGCCGGCCCGGTTGCCTCGGATGTGGAGCTCCTACTGGAGGAGGAGGATCGCCCTGCACGCAGCCCATTCACCTTCCCGCGTCGTGCGGCCTTGGCTCTGGGCTGCGTTGGTTTGGTCACCGTGGGCATCCTGGCACGTGGTGGCGCCCGCGGATTGCGCAGCAAGTCGGGTGCATTCGTCATGCTGGAAGCCAACACCGACGATTGCTATGAGGCTTCCACTTACTACAGCAGTCCCACGAGGATGGCTGGAAGTGAGAGGACCGTCGAGCTGAGTGTGGAAGCTTGCCAACAGCGCTGCTTTGCTGTTTCTGGTTGTGCACACTTCACCTACTGGCCGGATGGAGGCTGCCTGTTGACGGATGGCTCATCAGTTGCCTCGCCTGCCCCTGCGAAGTATTCAGAGACAGTGGCCGGACCGCCGTACTGTGGTGAGAAGCCGGATATCGTGGACACCGTTACCTCCGGAGTTCAGGGGGCCGCGGACACCATCAGCTCTGGAGTTCAGGGGGCTGTGGACACAGTTTCCTCTGGTGTTCAGGGGGCTGTGGACACAGTTTCCTCCGGAGTTCAGGGGGCTGTGGACACAGTTTCCTCCGGAGTTCAGGACACCGTCGACACTGTGGCGGCCGGAATCCAGGACGCTGCCGAGAAGGCCAGCATTGAGGTGCCGACTGTGCTGCCCCTGGCAGTCCCTGGAATCAATGGCACGATGTGCGCCAAGTACCCTGCCTGTGTTGCTGCTGGCATCGAGGAGGGCAACTGCTGCCCAAATGACGATCATGTGGCGCTTGGCTGCTGCATGGGCTTTGCACCTGTCATTGCAGCGCCCAAGATTGCTCCAGGGTCAGAGTGCACCTCCTTCCCTTCATGCGTCGTGCTGAACATCACCGGCGCCTGCTGCCCGACTCCCGATGGCACACGCCTGGGCTGCTGCGACTCCATCTAGGACCTGAGGACAGTCTCCGTGCAAATTTGATGCATTAGGTTTATGTTGAAAGCGGGCTGCAATGACAGCCACACAGATTCAAAGCATTTAGCTGTCCTGCAGGCAGAAATAGTCCTGAGGAGTCGTAGATGCCAAAAGAGTATGCTCAATCCAAAGGAAAACTCCGTCGGAAGTCTGCACCAGATGTGTTGCCTTGCTCTGAAAGTTGCATGCAGCTGGTGATTCTTGCTGCCCGCAATGTCAAAGGACGGATACGGAGCAGCCTTCCTGTCGCCCGCTGAAAATAGTCTCGGTGCAGTCATGGCCGGCCCGGTTGCCTCGGATGTGGAGCTCCTGCTGGAGGAGGAGGATCGCCCTGCACGCAGCCCATTCACCTTCCCACGTCGTGCGGCCTTGGCTCTGGGCTGCGTTGGTTTGGTCACCGTGGGCATCCTGGCACGTGGTGGCGCCCGCGGATTGCGCAGCAAGTCGGGTGCATTCGTCATGCTGGAAGCCAACACCGACGATTGCTATGAGGCTTCCACTTACTACAGCAGTCCCACGAGGATGGCTGGAAGTGAGAGGACCGTCGAGCTGAGTGTGGAAGCTTGCCAACAGCGCTGCTTTGCTGTTTCTGGTTGTGCACACTTCACCTACTGGCCGGATGGAGGCTGCCTGTTGACGGATGGCTCATCAGTTGCCTCGCCTGCCCCTGCGAAGTATTCAGAGACAGTGGCCGGACCGCCGTACTGTGGTGAGAAGCCGGATATCGTGGACACCGTTACCTCCGGAGTTCAGGGGGCCGCGGACACCATCAGCTCTGGAGTTCAGGGGGCTGTGGACACAGTTTCCTCCGGAGTTCAGGACACCGTCGACACTGTGGCGGCCGGAATCCAGGACGCTGCCGAGAAGGCCAGCATTGAGGTGCCGACTGTGCTGCCCCTGGCAGTCCCTGGAATCAATGGCACGATGTGCGCCAAGTACCCTGCCTGTGTTGCTGCTGGCATCGAGGAGGGCAACTGCTGCCCAAATGACGATCATGTGGCGCTTGGCTGCTGCATGGGCTTTGCACCTGTCATTGCAGCGCCCAAGATTGCTCCAGGGTCAGAGTGCACCTCCTTCCCTTCATGCGTCGTGCTGAACATCACCGGCGCCTGCTGCCCGACTCCCGATGGCACACGCCTGGGCTGCTGCGACTCCATCTAGGACCTAGGATGAGCAGACAGTCTCCGTGCAAATTTGACGCATTAGGTTTATGTTGAAAGCGGGCTGCAATGACAGCCACACAGATTCAAAGCATTTAGCTGTCCTGCAGGCAGAAATAGTCCTGAGGAGTCGTAGATGCCAAAAGAGTATGCTCAATCCAAAGGAAAACTCCGTCGGAAGTCTGCACCAGATGTGTTGCCTTGCTCTGAAAGTTGCATGCAGCTGGTGATTCTTGCTGCCCGCAATGTCAAAGGACGGATACGGAGCAGCCTTCCTGTCGCCCGCTGAAAATAGTCTCGGTGCAGTCATGGCCGGCCCGGTTGCCTCGGATGTGGAGCTCCTACTGGAGGAGGAGGATCGCCCTGCACGCAGCCCATTCACCTTCCCGCGTCGTGCGGCCTTGGCTCTGGGCTGCGTTGGTTTGGTCACCGTGGGCATCCTGGCACGTGGTGGCGCCCGCGGATTGCGCAGCAAGTCGGGTGCATTCGTCATGCTGGAAGCCAACACCGACGATTGCTATGAGGCTTCCACTTACTACAGCAGTCCCACGAGGATGGCTGGAAGTGAGAGGACCGTCGAGCTGAGTGTGGAAGCTTGCCAACAGCGCTGCTTTGCTGTTTCTGGTTGTGCACACTTCACCTACTGGCCGGATGGAGGCTGCCTGTTGACGGATGGCTCATCAGTTGCCTCGCCTGCCCCTGCGAAGTATTCAGAGACAGTGGCCGGACCGCCGTACTGTGGTGAGAAGCCGGATATCGTGGACACCGTTACCTCCGGAGTTCAGGGGGCCGCGGACACCATCAGCTCTGGAGTTCAGGGGGCTGTGGACACAGTTTCCTCTGGTGTTCAGGGGGCTGTGGACACAGTTTCCTCCGGAGTTCAGGGGGCTGTGGACACAGTTTCCTCCGGAGTTCAGGACACCGTCGACAATGTGGCGGCCGGAATCCAGGACGCTGCCGAGAAGGCCAGCATTGAGGTGCCGACTGTGCTGCCCCTGGCAGTCCCTGGAATCAATGGCACGATGTGCGCCAAGTACCCTGCCTGTGTTGCTGCTGGCATCGAGGAGGGCAACTGCTGCCCAAATGACGATCACGTGGCGCTTGGCTGCTGCATGGGCTTTGCACCTGTCATTGCAGCGCCCAAGATTGCTCCAGGGTCAGAGTGCACCTCCTTCCCTTCATGCGTCGTGCTGAACATCACCGGCGCCTGCTGCCCGACTCCCGATGGCACACGCCTGGGCTGCTGCGACTCCATCTAGGATGAGCAGACGGTCCATGTGAGAGTGGCTGCAATGACAGCCATCCGAATCGAAGCGCTGTGCTGCTTGCTGTGGGGGTCACATTGATAATGAACTGATACACATGGAGCAGACTTTTGAGGAAGTTTTGTTAGCAAAAGATCCATGCAAGCGCCTTTCAATTCTACTTGGTTTGCACAGATGGAGCAAGAACAAAACCCGCTTCAATGCAGGATTCGCTTTTCTGCAGAGTTCATCAAGCCAGCACATGCCGATGCCAAAGGTGACAACCACACCCCCCCAACCACACACACTCGCGCTCTCTCTCTCTCTCTCTCTTTTCCTTCCTCTCTCTCTCTCTCTCTTTCTCTCTCTGGCTCTCTCGATCTCTTTCTCCCTCCCTCTCCCTCCACCCGGTTCAACCCCACCCCCCCTGCATGTATCCCCCTTCACCCCCCCACCCCCCGCCACCAATACACCCACCCCCCCAACTCCAGATGCACCCCCGCATGGGTGAATCGGGCAACTCTGACCACCCCCCCTCCCATCCAGAGACAGCTCTATGTGTACAAGGACGTCTGGAAAAAACAGAGCACGGGGTCATTGTAACTGGTGCTATGCTGAAGTGCATGAGAATATATTATGAGCCTTTTTCGCATACACACTGTTCATGATACTTCTCTTGGGGCGTAGACATGTTGTTGTTGCACTGGTGCAGCTTCTTTCAGACTTACGCAGTGGACGAACCAAGATTCCATAAGTGCCTGGCAAGCTGGAGTTGTTGCCAGGCCCTTCACCAGAAGCTACAGCAGCCTTATGAACCGCCTCGGCCTTGACACTGGTCGAATGCTTCAGCACATGCTGCAGCCGTGTTTGGTCGCCTGAGGCTGTGGCTGGATGGCTACGGCCACAACAATATGCCCCAGGAGCGCTCCACCATGATTCCCGTACATGAACCAATGATTTTGTTTGTGAAGTGTTGATTGAACCGATGCCGCCACTCTTGTCTGTCTCACCAGGAAGAATGCTTCCGGTATGCCAGAGACTTCATCCAAGGTCTTCGCTGCCAGCTTATCACATGAACCCACTGATATTGAGCAATTGCGACTATTTGCTGCTTTTCAGACATTTTTTCAATCTTAGGCTTGGAATGACCACCATGAAAGAGACACGGTGTCCGTGCCCACCTTCCCATGAGCTTGGAAAAGCTTCAGCTTCGTAGTTGCTTACTTCCATGCACCGCCATCGATGGAGCATGTTCGTTCCAAAGCAAAATTGTATTGGAAGTCTATGCCTGATGTGTTGCCTTGATCTGAAAGTTGCATGCGGCTGCTTGTGATTGTTGCCGCCCCCGGTGTCAGAGGACCGATACGAAGCAGCCTTCCAGTCGCCCCCTTCCTGTCGCAGTCATGGCCGGCCCGGTTGCCTCGGATGTGGAGCTCCTGCTGGAGGAGGAGGATCGCCCTGCACGCAGCCCATTCACCTTCCCGCGTCGTGCGGCCTTGGCTCTGGGCTGCGTTGGTTTGGTCACCGTGGGCATCCTGGCACGTGGTGGCGCCCGCGGATTGCGCAGCAAGTCGGGTGCATTCGTCATGCTGGAAGCCAACACCGACGATTGCTATGAGGCTTCCACTTACTACAGCCGTCCCACGAGGATGGCTGGAAGTGAGAGGACCGTCGAGCTGAGTGTGGAAGCTTGCCAACAGCGCTGCTTTGCTGTTTCTGGTTGTGCACACTTCACCTACTGGCCGGATGGAGGCTGCCTGTTGACGGATGCCTCATCAACTGCCTCCCCTGCCATTGCGAAGTATTCAGAGACAGTGGCCGGACCACCGTACTGTGGTGAGAAGCCGGATATCGTGGACACCGTTACCTCCGGAGTTCAGGGGGCCGCGGACACCATCAGCTCTGGTGTTCAGGGGGCTGTGGACACAGTTTCCTCTGGTGTTCAGGGGGCTGTGGACACAGTTTCCTCCGGAGTTCAGGGGGCTGTGGACACAGTTTCCTCCGGAGTTCAGGACACCGTCGACTCTGTGGCGGCCGGAATCCAGGACGCTGCCGAGAAGGCCAGCATTGAGGTGCCGACTGTGCTGCCCCTGGCAGTCCCTGGAATCAATGGCACGATGTGCGCCAAGTACCCTGCCTGTGTTGCTGCTGGCATCGAGGAGGGCAACTGCTGCCCAAATGACGATCATGTGGCGCTTGGCTGCTGCATGGGCTTTGCACCTGTCATTGCAGCGCCCAAGATTGCTCCAGGGTCAGAGTGCACCTCCTTCCCTTCATGCGTCGTGCTGAACATCACCGGTGCCTGCTGCCCGACTCCCGATGGCACACGCCTGGGCTGCTGCGACTCCATCTAATGAGCAGACAATCTCCGTGCAATTCGGCACCGTAGCTTTTCACGGAGAGCTATTTTGCAACGCTCACTGCGTGCGCAGCTTGATGACATGGCTTCATCACCCATCGTCAAGCATATGTTATTTTGGCCTGTGCCTGGTTCCGTTGGTCCACGTGTTGTGTGCCCCGAGAGTAAGTTCAAAACCCGATCGTGAATCCTAGGTCACCTAGGTTTTGTAATGTTTTGTGTCTTTTCCGGCCCGGCCTTGCCGAGATCCTCTCGAAGCAGGGTGTCTCCATCTGTCGAAGAGAAACTTTTGTTGCCCTTGTGACACTCTGTCTGCTGAAGAAGTGCTTCGTGGTATGCTCGAGTGTGGCTGTAGATCATGGCTTTTGCAGCATTGCTGGACAGAATTGCCGATGCTGTCTCTCCCGTCTCAGATTTGGCCAAAGGCTTGTTTTGGGAGGGTTGATCTCAGCTCATCCTGTCTCGCGGCATGGACGCCCAGGACATCCGGCTTCGCAATTTTGGATGGTTCAGTTACTTCAGCTGCTTATGCCCAGACTGAAATGGCTGAATCGTTGCAAGCATAGCAAAGTGTGGCAGGCCTTGAAGGAAGCGCTCTTGACTGCTCCATTTGAAGAAGCCCTCAGGGTGCAGACCTTGCTGTCAAAGACCTTGCTGTGGGCCGGGTGGCTTTGGAGTGAAGTGGAAACTCCAAGCTGAGGCAATTGGTGACACACTGAAATCCCGACCGAACATCGCAACGTTCCTTGCCACATGGTGGGAGGGTTCGCATGAGACATCGTAGTTCTCTGTAAGTCTTTCTCACCAGTGTAAGCTCTTCTCAGGTCAGTTGTTGGATTTGCGTGTCCAGATTTGTCCGAAGCCTACAAGTGGTGATTGCTTGAAGTGTGAATGCCTAACTGTCGCATCATGTCTGCGGCCCGCGTGTGAAGAACTTAGTTGTGTTTCAGCAGCGGGTGCATTCTTAGCCTGTTTCTGTGGGGTCCCGTGTAGCATGGCCTGCGACGCAGTGCTGCCCGGAACGGTTTTGTGATGGTCCATCTCCGTTGAGACTGCCGGGTGCTGCAGGACTTATGCACCAGCCAGGGGTATCAAAGACGCTAGTCGGCATTGCGACAGTTTGTGCAAAATCTTTCGTTCACTGTTGATGTGGCTGTTGTTCTTGATCAGTTCTGCTGGCTTGGAGACACCGGAGATGCGACAACATCGACACTTACTACAGTTGAAACAATTGCCACGTTCGCCAATGTATGCCACGTCTGAGACGTTGCGTGATAAGGAGCAGCGGGCTGTTGGCACCCTGAAGAGTCAGCCTCAGATATTTGCATTATCAGACATTTTCAAGCAGTTTCACGCTTTCGCACTTTCTCTCCTCTTGCGTGGCCCCGCCACTTTGGGGCCACTGCATTGCAGCGCAGGTCCTTCTCGGCCAAGAGCGGCTTTGGGTTCATAGCGTGCGAGGAGCTTCTCCAGGCTCCTGTCCAGTATGAGCTGAGCATGAAAATCATGACCACACTCATGACTTCCAAAAAGTTATTGTAGAGGAAAGCATCAGGGTTCTTGAGGGAAGCAGCACATGTGATGTTGGCAACCCCCCGCGGTTGGCATCTGTCAACTATTGTGGTTTATTTGAGCTGGACCAGGGCAGTACCCGGCAGATGCAATTGACCTGCAATCCACCATGTGAGGTGTTTGGGACAGACATTTTTGTGCGCCTGAGCTTGGTTGGTCATGGGGCAGTGCAGTGTTTCGAAGTTTGTAAGTTGCTGTTGCAAAATCTTTCTTGTGCTGAGCAGCGACCCAGAGAGCGCAGCCAAGGCACAAGAAGCAGATGGGGCCGTACTTCACTTTTCTGACACCAGGGACCAATTCACAATGACATTGTTTCAGCTCAATGTCAAAATGGAGAGGGACTTGGCTCTTGTCCCGTATGCTAATTCCCTATAATCTCACAGGAGAACCTTTCTTTTCTCTAGTATTTCTATGGCCTTGATAGATTTTAAGAGGCAAGCCTTGGATTTTGGCTTCATGTCCAGGGTCTTTTGCCTCCATCCCACCTGTCAGCCTTGCCCTTGAATCCGCCCTTGAGACCCAAACTCTCATATCTTTTCCTGACCGTTCAAACCTCGAGGCTATTGTTAGCCTCATCTTCACGGGAACTCTCTTGGCAAGGAAACCACCCTGGGACCCTAACATCAGGTTCTCCAGCTATCACCCTGGAATCATGGACGCCGCGTTAACCTGGTTTAATCCCCCATGAATAGGATGACACGTGCTCAAATGACTGTTAACGCCTGGTCCGGAGAACGCCCGTCTTTTCTTTCCACTGGAGCTGGAACTCGATGAGTCTTCCGTCGTCATCTCCAAGTCTGGAGTAAGTTGGCACCCAGTTCTAGTGGTTGCAGATCTCCTCTTCCAAAATTCGGTCTCACACCCGGACAATACGGTACAAAAGTCCCTGGTCAAGAGCACACGCACAAAAGACTGCAAGGAACCCACTTCCGAACTTATTGTTCCTGCGCGGGGTAATAAGTAGATTGGTGTGCTCACTAGACTAAGTTAATGCACGCCCCAACAAAAGACCGTAACATTTTTACGGGCTTGCATAGTAATATTCATGCGTCTACGAAAAATAAAATAGGCCCGTAGGGGTGTGAAGATGTGAGAGTTAGGGTTTCAATGTGTGACAGGGAGATTCCGGAAGGTTAGACAGGAGGCCAGGGTCCCGCGGGTGGGTTCTTGGCAGTCTTTGGTACGTGTGCTCTTGACCGCCTAGATGACAGGGTCTTTTGTGCCGTACTGTCCGGGTGTGAGACACGATTTTGGAAGAGGAAATCATTTTGTAACCGCTAGAAAGAACTGGGTGATGAATCCAAAGGCGTGAACGGTTAGACTCTGAAAGTTACCGTGTTCATGCGGCCCAAAAAATACAATGGAAGTAGAAATATAGTGACATGCGCACACCAATATCATAAAGACGTGCGGCGTGCAGAATATGATTACTAAATCCGCGAACCGCGAAGAGAATTTTTATTGGGTCCGTAAAAATATCACGTAAACGTGTGCACTAAAAGTAGTAGCAGTACAAAGTCGTAAATCAGTAGAAGGAATAGTGTAAATAGCGTGCGTAGCTCAAGGGTGCGCATGAATGTAGTGAATGCCCGAAAGACCCTATCTAGTGTAAAAACCCACAAGTTTACACGTGAATTTAGTACACTTAATGGGTTCTTTGTTCTTTGGCACCTTTCCCCTTTCATGCTTTAAAGGCCCATGAGAATGCAAGTCTTGGAAGGGCTGTTCATGGGAGAGGGGGCAAGGCAGCCCCCCCTAATAAAACAGTAAAATGTCCAGATTTAATGTTCCAATAATACAAAAACATGACGTTCTGCCTTCTTTATGTTTGTTTATGCAGTAGAGGGAATAGAAATTTTCCTAATCAAATGTGGAGAACGCACAAAAGAACATAGAGAGAAAACAGAGGTTGTCTCATTAAAAACAGAGGTTTTTTGCTGTTGAAGTATAAAGAGAATAGAGGTTATCCTATGATAGTATGATAGTATACGGGTTTTCCGGTTAAAAGACACAGAAGCAGAGGTTTCCGATTAACATTTAAACAAAATAGTGGTTCTGTAGAGAATTAGCTGACGGACAAAAGCCAAACCCCAGACAAAATCAAAAAAGTTCCCAAATAAATTTTCAGCCTGTCAAATCTGTGAAGTGCAGGACCCCCGTGACCTTTGCCGTGGTGCTGGGCAAGGCACCCCTGCGCTTGATGTTCAAGCGGTTTTGCACGCTCGACTGGCGCGCTAGATTTGCACCGTCAGGAGAAGCCTCAGGCGCCCGGCCCCCTACGTTACAGAGCTACAGATGAGCATCATCGGTTGCCTTCTACAAGAAATCCATGTCGAACGGGTTATGACAGGGTTGTGAAAAAAGGTATGACATCCAGCCATTGGATGGGCGGCGGCCTCATGTGGCAGGGCGTTTGTTGCTGAGACTTCATACCATGCTCGCATTGCTCATCATGTGCTGAGGCTGGTTGAGGCAGCTCAAAACGCAAAAGCCGCCACGCTGAATACAGGCCCTCCCAAGATATCCCAAATCCTTAGGAAAGAGATTCTGAATGAAGAAGCGCATTATTTCACTGCCAGGCATACGATGTGCTCATGTGGCCCCACAGTACGGTGCACTCCGAAAGTGGCAGGAGCACAGTGCTGATTGCTTTACATCTGACATCTGGCCCTGCCCAATACCGAAACCTGCCACTCGCTTTGCTCACTTTTCTTTGTTTGTAGGGATTTTTGTCGGTGAGAGGATTCGGGAGCAGAACTCGGGCGCTTCAAGGGACTGCTCCTAGGCAAATACTGGCTGATCAGTTTTTCAGGAGCATCTGGCCGGTGTATACAGTTGTTGTGCGTGCTCAGGATCAAAAAAATCAGCTCCGAAGATGGATTTGGTTTCATTGTGAGTGAGGAGTACCAGATCCAGCACATGGCCTAGCCGTTCATGTCCTTCTGGCGGGGCTAGTTGTGAAGGGGGGACCACCCTTGGCAAACTGCCGAAAGTCCTCTCACCTTATGCGAGACCCATCTTTTCTGAGTTACTCTTTGTCAAGTGCCCCTTACAGCATAGAGCTTTCGTCTCTGGCCGCATCACAAGGGTCCTAGGCAGGAGAGGAACCCCCGGCCTGCTGAGATATAGTGAGATCTTGGATCCTTCTCGTTCGCAGGAGCTGGCAATGAACGGCTATCCAAACGATGTCTTCCTGCTTGCAAAGCATGCGCAGGGTTTGCAGGCAAGAGAGGGCAAATGGTGAGACATGGAGGGCTTTGCCTTATACAATTGCCAATAGTTGGCAGAGGTGCGACAGTGTTGGAACTGCCCATGGTGAAGTCATGTGAGTAACTTGTCGTCATGAGGCAGGCCAAGTCGTGTCCTTCACGGCCTTTCTCAATGACAAAGGCCATCCGCAAGCCAAGGTGCGGAATTTTGCTGAGATTTCTAACATTCTTTCTCTCTTTGCCAACAAGCCCCTGCCAGAACGTTGAACTTCAGTGAGCATCAGGAAAGCTGACATTGAAGAAGATGTTTCTGGGTGTCAGAGCTCATAAGCAGCTTTGCCGTCTCACGCCACACTGGATCCTGGGCCTGGGACAGCCGCTTGTGGTTCGCGGAGAAGTCTTGGGAGACACGAGAGATCAGTGTGGCCGAAGTGTGAAGTAGCGTAGTTTAGGCACGCTCGCAGCTCGACCCCTGGCGCGAAGCGCCGTCGGCTTGTGCATAAGACAGAATGGTGAGAGCGTGGTGCCGAGCATTTCAAGAAATTTCTCTCTGAGGTTTCAAAAAGTGTGTGACGCATCTCAGGTTCTGAGGATCTCCGGGACAAAGCAACCTAAGTAAGGTGTGCACTTAGGAGCAGATACAAGTGTTTCCGGTTCTTACCTGTTCCCTTTCAAAATCTTTCGAAGGTCCCTTCACCCAATAGCCAAACATCCAGATTGCAGCTTGGAGGAGTGTGAGTTTGTAGTTTTGCGCAGCTCGTTCCCACAGCTACTCGTCGCCGCCTGGCTCAGACTGTTTTTGGGGAGGCTGCTCTCCAAAGCTTTGGCTGCCAGAGCCTGGTCATTCTCGGTGATTCTGAGTCATTCTGAGTCATTCTGAGTCATTCTGAGTCAGCATCGGTCCCTGACTTTTCAGCGTTTCCTTGCAGGTCAGCCATGCACACTCTAAAGTACGAAGAAGAGGCTGCCGACCAAAAGCGCCCGTCATGCAGCACTTGAGAAGAATGCTGCCTAGTAGACGGCTCAATGCCGGCTCGCCCCTCTTCTTGAGTTGGACTTCTGCTTCTGCTGACTCAAGGGCTGAAGGATACTCCTTGTGGCAGGCGGTGGGTCTGGAGACTGTACAAAAATGGATCGAAGACAAACACTTGCGACAGAGGCAGGAGCCCCGTGTTTCTGAAAGTCTTAAGAGAGCCGGTGTGCATCCAGTGTTTCGGTGCCTCGTTTAGGTGTGAGCAGATCGAGCTAGTGTCCAAGAAGGTGAAGCCCGAAGTAGCGCAGCTGTTCGTCTCCCAGACAGGAGTTTGCTTGCCTTTCGCAGTACATCGAGAACACAGGTCAAAAGATCTGTGAGTGACTGTCAGCTTGTTTGGCGGATTTCAAGTGACTTCAAGGCTCAGCGTCTTCGTTTTCCAATGCAGGCACGATCCGTTGTTGGCAGCGCTTTGTCACATTGTCACATTGTCACTGTCATTGCGAGCATTGCTATGAGAGCATCAGCACTATCGTGAGGCACTTGCACACCTTAATCCTTTCAAACAATGCGCTCGGGGATGATGGCCGGTGTCCCGGAATGTGCATGTGTACGCTTCAGTGCACAAGACTCTGCAAGATGCATCATGATGTTCTGTCAGGAGCCGTGTCGTTGGCCTCCTACATGGAAATCCGAATGCAGGTCCAACTTGGTAAGAGCTTCGATGGAGCCTAGCTGGAAGCTGGCGTGGAGCCCTTCCAAGCTCTTAGGTGACACCTTAGCTATTGCAGAAACTTGCAGATCCTTCAGATGCCTCTGTGTGCTTTGCAATTGTGTTTTTTCAAGTGGCAGAGGACGGGGCTTGCCCTGTCAAGCTGTTGGATCTCAGTGGCCTGAACCTCGGTGGCTCAATTTCCCTCCGACTGCAAGAGATATAAGTGCGAGCTGCGAGGGTAGCAAATGCTGGCAAAGTCAAAGGGGTTCCCGGGTTCCAAGAGATGTCGGAGATGTTGTGCAAAGCGCCCCCTAAGCGCCCCCTAAGCACCCTGAAAGCCCTCTCAGGCACGCACATCACGGCCGGCTCTGTCGGTCACGTGGCGAAAGCCTTCCTGGGCCAGTGGGATGCCAGGGGCGACGATGGCGAGGCCGAGGGTATCGCTGTTTCAGCACTCGGCTACTCCACACTCACTCGCAATGAACCGCCTGATTTCGGAAACTCCTGGAACGCTGTTCCGCAGCTAGATGCAGCATGCTGCAGCCATTGCATCAATGTATCTCCTTGCAAAGTGCGCTCTTGCTCAAAAGCCGATTTTATGTTTGCCTGCGCCGCCTGCCACTCCGGGCAACAAGCCAATGCAGCAGAGGACCTGATGATGTTAGGGTCAGGGGTGCATGCTTATCGCAACTCTTTTGTGGAGAAGCGCCCCCCCCCCCCCCCTGAGAACCGAGTAGAAGTCGGTCATGGAATGTCTGCGAGGATTTCTTTGCCCATTCGCACTCGAGATGACCCGCAGCCACCACTGCAGCCATCATCGCCTTCCGACGCTACTTGGGGAAATGATGCTGTCGGAGTCGAGGTCTCTCTTTGTGCCTGTCTCTTGTCCCTCGGACGTGCTTTCCTGTTGCTTTCCCAAGGCTTTCTACCAGCCGGATGGTGGCAACTATAGTGGCAACTATAACCCGGCAGTTCCAGCAGCAAGCTCCGTTCTTTCGCCGATGGCAGCGTACTTCGATGGGCCGGCGTCGTTCTTCAGCAGCTCAGGATCCGCAGCAATGGGCTGTGAAGGGCGCCAGTCGCAGGCATCACAGGTGACGCATGAGACTTCGCATACTTCGCAAATGCCGCAGGCGCGGGCGTCGCAAAGTCAGGAACAGCCGCAAAGACCGTCACAGAATGCACAGACGCAGAGACAGGCTCCGATGATGCATGCGTCGATGTGCATGCAGCCTGGGATGGGAGCTCCATTCATGCCATATCCGCCTCAGAATATGCAAAGTGGCGTGCCCCCCATGGCACCAGTTTCACCTGGCTTGCAACCACCGATGTGCATGGCCGGACCAACGTTGTTGCAATCCCGCACGCCCCCAAACCAGGCAAAGAAGAAGGAGAAGGATTCTGAGCCCAAGAGGTCACAGGGCCGAGCTCCTTGCCCGATTGCTGTGTACGTGGACCTATCCTCCCTTCGGCTTCGCGACAAGAAGTAGGCACCAAGCGACAGTCTCTGCATGCTTCGGGTTATCTGGGTACGCAGTGTCCCTTGGCCGAATGGAGCAGCTGCATACTTCATTGTTCCAGTTTTATCTTGCGGTGCTTGTTTGCGTTGCGCGAGCTAGCCTTCTGCGAGAGCGCACGTTCACTAAGGTCGAGAGACTCTTTCAGTTGCTTTCTCAAGGGTGACAATCACCCTTTGGCAATTGCGCTGCACATGCCAGAGCAGTATCACCTACCTCAAGATGAGATTGCTATTCCAAGATATTCCAAGTGGCTGCAAGAGGCCTCAGGTCCCTCAGTTGGGACTAGTGATGCTAAGGCTGCCATCCGGTTCTTGCCAGGTGGCTGCCGGTGTAGAGGGATGTGAGGAGTTGCAGACGTGTTGCTGACTAGATTAAGTACAGCGAAGTACAGTAAGGTGAATTTTAAGTGCAGCTAAGTGCAGCAAGTAGTTGGGGTGTGCTGCGAAATTGTGAATCAGGCTCTGGATTGGCCCAAGGAAGGAACGGGTGCAGCCTCAGAGCTTGTCTTGAACCGTGGCTCTGCGATTTGCAGACGGGTTTGAGCAGGCTAAAAAATCCCGACCTTTTGTGTCTGGGGTGCAGGGTGTTGGGAACAATCAAAACTACTTTCAGGGAAACCAGGCAGAAACATTCCATCAACTCCATCAACTCTTTTTTTGGCTTCGGATTCTGAGACTTCGCGCATTTCACCAGTGCATAGTAGGAGGACTCACCTCTTTTTGGCTTTTGTTGTGCTCAGTCCGAGTACAAACCTGAGCTGCCAGAAGGATGATCTTGTCATATCTTGTCAATTCTCGTAGAACTCGGCATCGTGACGAAGAATTCAGGGCCCTTGGGGCTGTTTCAGCGCTTCTGACAGATCTTTCGTTCCTTCAGCTTGGGGGTCAGGAGTACGTCCAGTAATATGGCGTGCTTGCCTGATTGACTTGCGTTCATGTAAAGTTTGCGCACCAGCTTCACGCCCACGGGAGATCACTGATTTGCAGCTACTTCATGTTGAACAATGTTGAACGGTCTTGTTTTCACAATCGGCTGAGACTCTCCGTGGCTCGTGGCCGGAGACTCCTTGGTGAATGTCCTCCTTTGCTTGTGCGAAGGGCTGACAGCAGGATTGGTATACCTGCACGGAAAAAGGAGTTCGTCCAGTGACATGCAAGCAGGGCCTTGGGACCTTTGGTCGCTCGATGTTTTGGATAGACAGCACGTCACGGAATGATGGAAAATGTGCCTGTGCAGGAAAACGTGATCGGGCAGCGCAGTTGCAGAAGCGCCACTCAAGGTGCAGTGATGGATTGCCGCACGAGAGTATGGCATCTACAGAGCTGCATCTCCGAGAGTCGGCTTCATGCACTCTGCTTTATTGCCCTAAGTTTTCAGTTTCTTTAGACCTGTGATCTTCGCCATTCACCTGGAAACACCAGTTCATTTTTCTGCTGGATGGTTCTGAGTGGTAGTTAGCTTTATCTCACATCGCCTGGTAGAAATACACACCCGCTCGTTAACCAGACACATCGAACATTGGGGGAAGCACGCTTTGGGCATTTTGCCAGCCGCACTTCAAATTTGAACGCTCGCATCTCGGGGGAGGCGTGCGCTGCCCGGGTGTTCGAGTAAATGATTGTAAATGAAATTGAAGCAAATGTGTTCTTGGGGATTTGCTACTAACAGGCGCTCCAAATTGTTGTAGTTTGTTGTAACAATTGTCGAAAACATCAGCGTCTGCCAGGTATCGTGAGTTTGGAGCCCTCCCACGTAGACACCGCCATGAAGCGTTCAGCGCAATTCTCTCTAGGAACGTCCACATTGGTGTGATACGTATTTTACCCAACTAAGTTTTATCAGTCAAATCCATTCCTGTTGTTGCTCTAAGGGTATTTTTTATCACGAAGCACTTGCTATTAGGTGCTTATGTGCCTGTGCTGGATCTTTCGCACAATGTCCTCGAGGCCAGGCATGACATGAAGCTGTGAGATCCTGCAAGCTAACCACTTGCAGCTTATTGTGGCTTGCTCCCATCCCTGGCCAGGATTGCGGAGTGGAGGCTTGGCTTGGGCTTTGCTTTGCACATCGCATTGATCAGATTCGCTTCCTCTCTGCCTCGCAGCCATGGCAACGGGAGTCAGTTTTGAAGAAATCACCAAAGCTAGCTCCTGGGACCTTTGGCCTGATATCTCAGAGATTTAAGGTCACACGCGGGTGGGGGCCCAACTTCCCCCCCGCGCCCCCACTCAAGGGCTTGCAGCTACTGCAACCGAATTTCGGCAAGAAGTGCAAGCCGTTGTAAACCCCATGCGTGAAATTTGTTAGGCTATCTAAGCTTGTAGCTTGCAAACCCCCAAAATTCGAAACCTTAAGCCCTGCCTGCCGAAAAAACACCGGCCGCGTGCCACTTTCGGGCGCCCTAGCACATTGCTACAATTGGCCAGCTAAAGCTTGTTCGTTTGTGCATGCACAGAACATATGTGGCAACGTTGAGAGGAATCGATTGGCAGTGCGGCGCTGTGCACAGTCATCCTGTTTTCGCTGGACATCTAATGCTCCCAAGCCTGTGTTTGGTCGAAAGCTGACAGAGTAGGCAGTAGCAAGCTGCAGCATCATTGCCTTTCACAGTGCAATGTTCTTTTGCAGAGCCAAAGCCTGCTCAACTTGGACCCCCCTGGCGTATCATCTGTACTGCACGTGCGAAGCTGAAACCACTTAGTTTGGCAGGCTATCGCTGCTCATGTTGTGAGGAGCGTCTTCGCCTGAGCTGTGGTGTGGTCAACTTGTCTTACAGTGAAACACAAGAGTCACAAGAGGCAACCTGCAAGCCGCAAGTGTGTTTTGCGAGCTGGCTGACAGGTTTGCCTCCGCTTGCGGAATGTCGGATGCAAGAAGGATGGACACAAGCTCAGCGTGGTGCAATCTGTGCCATCTACTGTGCTAGCCAACAGTTCGTAGGCAACACAATGTGTGTAGTTCTGACAAGTTCTCAGAAGTCCGAATGCTAACGCACCAAGGTCTGCAGAAGCTCTTGAAGTGCCACGACTGGATCGTTGAGCTCGACTTGGGCATGAATGAAATAGGCACCATTCTGTGCTGTTGGTGCCTCAATGTGCCATCTCATGCATCTCGTTCCCTGCATCCTTGTGTTCCATGCCCCGACAGACTTCTGTCATTCCAGCATCCTTGAGCAGGAGTGGCAGGTGTCACCGCGCTTTTCTCCACTGTCAAAAGCAGACGGCTTAAAGTGATCAATGGCTTGCTCTTGGAGCACATGTCAGTAGATGTATCGGCTCCAAGCACAGGTTCCAAAAGATGGGAGCTGCTCAACGTCTCCAGACTTGCTGCCCCTGCCACTGCAGGCCCTGATTCACTTCCGTCATGTTCCATCCTGTTCCACTCTTGCATTTGTTTGCAGAGTGGATCCCGACTGCTGAGAGCTGCAAAAGATGGCTGCAAGGCTTTGAATGCGCTGCAAATCTGGTCACGCCAGAGATGGTCGAGCGTTTCTCTTAGCAGACGTGGCACCGGAGATTGGCATGCTGCATTTGTGGAGATTGGCACTCAGCAGACTGCCAAGGTGCCTTCGGAAGGCTCCAGGTCTGAAAGACTTGGACTGCAGTGAGAATCGGCTCGATGATGATCGTGCCAAGATTATCGTTGAGGTGGCATGGCCATGTGTCATAAAACGAACCTAAAACATTCAAGAAGTGATGCCTCTTGTCTGCTTTTGCTGTACGAACGTTCCCGTGATTGGAGGGCTGTTCTGGGTTTGACTACACCTGGACCCTGAAAGCTGCCTTTCAGGGTTTGTGCAGAGTTGATGTGGACGATACGGTCTCAGGGCCTCACCATCCTAGCCTTTTGGGCATGAAGCACTGGTTTTGCTTCGTGCTCTTCTCCGAAAAGACTTGCGCAGCCTACTCGGGCCGACTCGCAGCCTACTCGCAGCCTACTCGCAGCCTACTCGCATACTCGCAGGATGGGAGGAGGAACACGGGATCTTCGTTTGCCCTTTCTTGGCGTCGAGGTTCTTTTTGAAGCTGTTGGCTGTTGACGGTCGAAGCCACGAAGCCAAGAAGCCGCGCTTCGTGGTGCAGTACGGTCTGCGTGACGGTGGTTCTTGCAACCCCTCGTATCCTGTAGCCGCTGTAGCCTGATGTTAGCGGGCTTCAGCTCCTTGAGAACTGCTGTGCCCAAGCATCCAAAACCTTGAGCCGATCAAATGGTCAGCTCCCGCCTCCAACAGAAACTCCAAAGGCCCAGTTTTCATTCAGGACCGAGGCCATCATCTCATGGACCAGTATGGACCAGTACCAGTAACTGTCTTGAGGCGGGTTTCCAGACAAAACTTCCTGAGCCCGAGCCATGACTTGGAGAAACCAACTTAAAGACCACACAGAAGGAAACCAGTCCTGTTGTGCCTCTGTCGCCCCGCATGGGACAACCAAGGGTCTAGATGAAAAAGGCTTAAAGGCCTCTGTGATGCGAGACCAGCATTCGCCTGTCGCCTTTGGACAAAATCTTCAACGACGGATAGATTGCCACAGTCTGATTGCGGACTTGTGAGCCAGAGCTGCCACTCAGCTTCTGCACCGTACCCACTCGTTGGCCTGAGCTTGCCTTGTCAACCCGAACCAAACTCTTAAACTCAGTAGTCAACGAGGGAAGCAAAGAAACAATGGGCAGGAACAAGCATGTCACAGGCTTTAGATGAGTTCACATACATTGACCTGAAGCAGGGCGACCCGCTAATCCTTCATCGCCTGCTTTGCATGCGCAGGCGGTCAAGGACTCGGAGACGGATCGCTTGCAGCGCTTGGCGATGAATGAATCCGGATGTGGAATTCTGACAGCAGAAGCTCTCAAGGCTTCAGTCAAACATGCTCGTTCAACGCAGCAATGGCTAAAGTTCGAACTGGCCTTCAGGCAGTCCTGAGCCAAAGAGCAGTTCTGAGCGGAAGGGTCGGGCCCACGATTCGAGAAGAATGGTGCTTGTAGGGAACCATGGCGCGTTGCTGATGTTCATAAGCTGAGTGTGCGCCAGAACACTTGTGCAGTCGGCAAGGTCCCCTATGGCAGCAGCCGATGTACAGCTTTGCGGATCCTTGAACTCAGAGGTACATCGCACACCATCCTGTGCTGTATCTTTCATTCTTGTGGTTCGGTGCATGGTGCCACAAGCCGCTTGATCACACAGGGAACAAGCTCCATGACGACTGCATGAAGATTTTTTCGCAGGCCCATCGCAGGAGAGTGGAATGTGAGACGCGTAGGGACACAGCTAGTGTTGCAAGCTAGCAAGAGCTGCCAGGACAGTAGTCAAGCTTGATGCCCTCATGTTTTCCCTGGCAGGGCCTGGGAGACAGCATCTCTTTGGAGAAGCTGATCCTCGCGGGGTCTCGCTGGCTGTGATGGCTTAAGCCCGCTTGTGTTAAGATGCTTCCAATCCTATACATCGTCAGCATTGCTCCCTGTCTTCAAGCAGAGTTGAGCTTGCACTGCAGTGCAGACCAAGGCACACCGGTCAACTCTCAACCTAGAACGCCCTACATTTGAGTTTGATCGAAGTAGCACTGCCTTTGCATGAGGATGCAGACCTTGATGAATGCCGTGGAAATATGTTGAAATATCGTACATCTCTTGACGTAAGAAGCTGCGAGCATGGCACGCATCTGGCCATGGATTCCAAGCGAAAGGAGCGGACACGGAGAATCATGTCGAGGCTTCTTGAGCACTGTTCCGAGCATTCCACAGATGCAAAGGTAGACAGCTGTGATGTGCTGGACTGGCGGCACCAGCCGCGTCGTCCGTCAAGCTGGCTTGTCCTTCGCTTGCCCTCCAAGGTGTTCACCAACTTATACTAAGCAGGTAACAGTCTGTGCTGAGCAGTAGTGGTGCGCTGGAGCGCATCGGGCAAAACCCTGCCTTTCTGAGGCTCCGGGAAGACGTGTGATTATATCTACGCGGATTCTTCCCCCTGTGCATTAGGACATTCGCGACGTGCGGTTCCGCCTTGTACCGTTACGCTTTCTTCTGTATCAGCTACAATCTGATGGCACACCTAAAGGCCCAAGCTCACTCGGAAAGCATGACTTCAACAAACTACATACTTGTCAAGAACGTATGCCCCTACATTGCGATGTTATGTTTACATTTTCTCGTGAAGCTAACTCTTGAACCGCGTCGGTGCTGAGGGTTGCTTGTAAAGCTTGCTCAGTCGTTATCACCAACAAAGTTCCGCTGTTAGTATGGCAGGTTCAAGAGATCCTTCATCCCGTTTGATCCGGATGCAGCGTGGCGCTTACAATGCGGACTGCTGGACTGAGCAGCAACATGTCCGTTTCAGCAAAAGTGACGTTTGAGGCAGAAAGCTCTGGAGGTGCAGCAAAAGTTGCGAAGAGGCAGTTGTTGCAAGCGGAGAGAAACGCTAAAGCCACGTGACCATGTCCCGCCTTCGGTTGATGTTCAACCCGGATTCTTTTAGGTTGAGCGAACCTTGTCCCAAGCCGTGTCATCCGGCTTAAGTGTCTGGCAACACTTGCGCCTTCGAAACATGGCAGGTGCTTGTGCAGATGCTTCGAAGCTTTTAGGACCCTCCTTAGCAACTCCTGCATGCGGGGTCGCTTAGCAAGCCTGTTTTGCACGGTCGCCCAGCTGCTTTTTTTGAACCCTGAACGTTCTGGGGCTCCGGAAGCCTTAAACCCACCAAACCGAATGCGAAACGTGAACCCCAGCCCGAACTCCCTGCAGGAGTGGGAAGTACGAAGTAGGCATTCAGTGGGCTTCTGCAAATGTTTCCGTCGTAAATAGCGTTTCGAATCCGTGTACCGAGTTCATTGACTTAAACCTGAATATGCGACTCATGCTTGGACCTGACTACACCGATTAATATGCCGCTGTATACATAAACGCAGTACATAATGCATTGCTTACCAAAAAACCATACGAAACAGGTCCTGCGAAATGTGCCTCCACAGTTGCAAGCTTCGTGTTCAAAAAGTTTCTAGGGCCGCGCTGTGGGCGCCAAACCCGTCTGCTTCATTCAAGATCACCAGGCCTGAGCAAGGATGAAACGCTGGCGGTGTGACCGAAAATGTCAGCTACACTGTGCTGCAGAAGTTTTGAGCATTGCGCCCAAGTTCAATTCCCATCCGGACTTGGGCTGGAAAATGGAGGACAAAATGGGGTCGTCCTTTGGACCCTTCACACAACCCCATGCCATGACCAAGCAACTGGTTACGTAACATATCTCTTCCAGAGCGCACATGCCCATGCCATGACCAAACGGTGAGGCTAATTCTGTCTATACTGCATGACTTGGAACAATGTACATCTATGTACACATGCATATATGCAGGCAAACAAAAAATCTCTATATATATATATATCTATATATGTAGTTGTATATATATATGGGTTTGTATGTAAATATAAATATATAAATATAAGTATACATATACATATATATATATATATTTATGTACATACATATCTGTATGTATGGTGCCGCGTCGCTGCTAGTCCCCTCCCCAGCCTTGTCCGACCGTGCTGTGGTGCCCCCTTGTTGTGGGGGGGGCTAAAGATTTAGGTTTGTTTTCGGGTTTTGACCACACGTTCAGGGTTTTTGGGGTTTTAGGGTATTAGGGTTTTGGGACTTAGGGTTTCAGAGTCTAGGGTTTCGAGGTTTGTGGGTTTGGCCGAACGGGTTTGGGGGTTTCGGGTTTAGGGCTTTGGGGTTTTAGGGTTGAGGGGCTCGGGGAGGCCGGTGGGAGCCTGCCTACAAGACTTGCTTACACTTGGTGATGGCCGCTCCCTGACAAAGATGAGGGACGCGGGATATGAAGGGAGCATCTCATGGGGTGCAAGGAGGAGGATGAGGAGGAGCAGGGCGGCTAGGGAGGCTGAAACGCCTCAGGCTTCATCTCGAGCGCATCAAAGTTCAATGAAGATGGCGGCAAGTTAAAAAAGAAGACAGTGCTGGAGGAGGCCCCAAAAGGACGAGCAAGTAAACCTTGGGAGAGGAGAGGTCCCAAGCAAGCCCTGATCTTAAAAAGGAGGCGTGAAAGGAACCAGGAGGGGCAAACTTCGAACTCCGGCATCCAAAAGCGTCCAAGTACGAGAATTCGCCGGCCAAGTGACTTCGGCTTTGCCAAGCGATGCCGAGCCAGTTTGATCAGTGACAGGGTACCCACTGCACGCCTAGTGACCTGTGGGCCTGGTAGTTGCCTTCCATTTTTTCGGCTCGAAACTCCACTTCATGGTGTCAGGTGGTAATATTACGTATGAGGGTTTTCGTTGTCTCCATCCAGCGAAGAAAGATGCAATACAGGTCATGTCTTGGCTTGACTTTGTCCATGGTCCACTCGCAGGCCCCTAAAGGCGCCGTTTTCTTTATGCAGGTCACTCCTGCCTCCACACATGCGCAATGGCTCAAATGGCTCACGCGCACGATGGGGCAGACTCGGAAACTGGACCAAGCAATGTTCATGGTGGCCTGGCTTGTCGGCCATCCAGTTCTATGAATCTCCCCATCGTTTTGCTTGCTTAGTTTCCAAATTTGGATCCCGAAGTCCATGAGTCCTTCGTACTTCTATGCACTCCTTAGGCTCCATGCAAGTCTGTCCCCCCCTCAGCCAAGGCATCTTGAACATTGTCCAGACTAATCCGATATTATCCTTTATGCTGGTTTGCTTCGTGCCGCTGGGGTTTGCTTCTCATTTTCTGGAGTTTCAGCCCTCCTATGTTTTCGGATGCAACTTTCTGGCCATTATTCCACTAGCGTGGATCATTGGAAAGTCCACAGAGGATTTATCTGCCGCGGTTGGTCAGACAATGGGTGGTCTGCTCAATGCATCCTTTGGAAACCTGGTTGAAATGTTGCTGGTCATTGCGGGCATTCGAAGGAACCAGGTTGTCGTTGTTCAGTGCACTCTCTTGGGGTCCATCCTCAGCAACTTGCTTCTGGTAATGGGATGTGCCTTCCTTCTCGGTGGCTGGTTCTACGCGACGCAGAAGTTCTCCCAGCAAGGTGCTGCAACTCAGTGCACCTTGCTTGCATTGAGCGTCTTCTCCATTGCGCTGCCGACGCTCTATGCGAAGATTCTGGAGGAAGCTCAGGAGTTCGAGCACATGGTGGAGGTGTCTCGTTGGTCCTCGGTTTTCCTCCTCGTCACTTATGCAGCATATCTGTACTTTCAGCTCGGAACTCATCAAGCACTCTTCGAGGACCCTGCCGCTGAAGATGAGGACGAGCCTCCTGATTTAACGCCTGGTTTTGCGGCGTTCGTGCTGGCTTTGGCTACCGTGGTCACATCATATTCCACGGACTTCTTAATCGACTCGATTGAAGGTACGGTGGAGAAGTATGACCTGTCCCAAGAGTTCATTGGAATAATCCTACTCCCAATCATTGGGAATGCAGCCGAGCACTATACAGCCATTACTGTGGCAATGAGGAATAAAATGGATTTGGCACTTGGAGTTGCTGCGGGGTCCTCATGCCAGATGGCGCTCTTAGTCACCCCCTTCAGCGTTCTTGTAGGGTGGGCAAATGATCGTCAGATGTCCTTGGACTTCCACTCCTTTCAGGTTGCAGTCCTCTTTATCTCAGTTTTTCTGGCCTCGAGTATCCTCAACAATGGCACATCAAATTGGTTGGAGGGACTGATGCTACTGGCAACCTATGTTGTGTTGGCATTGATCTACTTCTTTGAGGGAGCTGGCAAAGGCCACTCCCTCGCAGTGTTGGACTAACCTTTTGGCCGTCAGTATTCAATATCTGCCGCTCGCTCCAAGCATAGCGAGCATCCGAACGTTGTATCTCCATGAATGTTTCATCTAGAGCGAAGAGCTTGTTAGCTTGTTTCACAGCAGCCCGTCTGCTTCCAGACCTGCCAAGTGGTGGAAAGCGCCATCGGTTTGCCATGGTGGTAGCAACGTTGGCATAGCCTAGTTGATGTTAAGGAGGGAGCTTTGGCCATGATGGGTGCTGCTTCTGCACATTCCCTGTTTCGGCATATGGAGGGTTTGCCCTGTCTGTGAGCTTTGGAGATCCGTGATGCTAGGCGACAGAGTTTGGGAATCCACTCCATCGAGGATCCTGCCGGGGAGGACTCCGTGTGCGCAGCCGCACAACAACTAAAAAGTGGGCTTGGTGTTAAGAGCACTTAAACGAGTTGAGAGTGTTGCGGTGTCCAGAAAAGGGGGATGCTAGGACGCCACGGTGCCACCTCTGAAGAGCTTCAAAGACCTGAAGGATGCCCTTCCGGAGTGGCTGCTGCAGGCAAAGACGGCCCGAAGACACGGAGCGAGAAGACACGGAGAGAGAGAGAGAGAGTGTAACAAAAACACACACACACACAGAAAAAAAAGAGAGACATACACAGATCTCACGCTT